TAATCTTATGTGACTTCTTCTACCATTGAAATTAGTCCAGAAATAAGTTTTTACCGCATAGTAAAAAGTGCTCCATAAATTATAGCATAAGAAACCGCTTGTTACATACATCAATTTAATGTTAGTTTCACATACTACTTCCAAAAAGAACAGTAGTGGTATAAATTAAAATTCTTAATAATGTGAAGTTATTTGCCAACATTTCTTTACCAGGTGATGCTTTTCGCATGTTCCGTATGCAACAAATAACTACTACTCGCACCCCCCCCCCCCCCCCAAGTGCCATTTCGGGCTGCAAATGCCCATAACTTGCGGCCAGAATGCCCACGAATTGCGGCCCTTTTTTGCCGCACCCTCTCCCCTACTTTTCCTTTATATAATTGTATTTTATTATAAACATTGAAATTTTATAACTATACAAAAAATGCAACAAAATGTAAAATTAATTATATGATGTTCATGACAAATTCAGAGATCAAATTACAGGAAAAAAAAATACAAAAGCTTCATAAAGTTAAAAAATTAGAAATCTTTATGTAGTTTTAAACTTCAGTAATTGGAGTGTATTTGTGTGAAAGTTCTTTAATTTTATTAGCACAAATTTTATTTATTGTACATATAAAAAAATTCTACACTTAATATAAAAACATAAATTATATTAGAAAACGAAAGGAGTTGGCTTACACGCAAGTCATTCTAAAAACTCAAAATCATTCAATCGGACACAGCATTTATTGGTTTGAAACAGAAGAGCAGAAAACAGACACAGAATAATTGAATGAGACAAAAACACGACATTTTGACGTAACTTGTTGACCTTATTACCATTTCAAATCAGTCCTTGTAAGCAAACCTTAAGCGTGACACTTTTTCCTCTAGTACTATGGAGTCGTAAATCATATATTTATAAAAGGAGGAGGAGATATAGGAGAGTAAGTAGCTAAAAACCTGCAACTGGATGCTGCAAACTGCCCAGAGCAAGAACCTTTCTTCACCAGCAGTCTTGTACATTTTAATAGCTATCTAAGATAAGGACAAGAAATAACAGAAAATAACACAACATAAGAGTAATAAACGAGAATAAGCGATTTAATAATGATGAATGCACAAAAGTTCCCAAAGCGAATTCATTGCACCAACCTGTTGCTGCTTCACAAATGAGTACTCTCGCACGTAACAATTGAAAAGGCCAATCATTAATTCCAAATTGTTGGGATATTTTGCACAAGAGTGCTCGTAACAACTCGTGGCCATCCCCACTGTCCATTTACAACCAATACATCAATGTACAGAACCCCATTAATTAACTGAAGAATCGATGAAGAATGAAAAACTCACAGTGATCCAGTCGCTGGAAAACAATCTGCAAAGTGCTGAGGGTGAGATCGTCGACGAAGACATTGGGGTCACTAGTGCACAAAATCTCCTTGGCATTTAAACAAACAGATAGCGCCTCCTCATTCCTACCCATCCTTTCCAATGTCAAAGCCTTCAGCGCCTGCACAAAATCAGCAACAAAAGATTCCGAAAAACATTAACGAACAACAAAGAGAATCTTTCTTGCACAAAATTAAAAAAAAAATGCGACAATGGAGGGTACTCACGAGGGCGTAAGGAGAATTCGGGTATTTGGATAAGAGTGCGGTGCAGAGCTTGAGAGCGTTCTTGAACTGGCGAGAGTCGACGGCGTCCCAAATGGGTCGGACCCGCCGCTCCGGGATGCCACCGGCTAACCCGAATTTGGACGCCATTCCGTACAACAACACAGTGATCTTCGAAACCGATACAAATCAAGATTCTCTTTTTTTCCTCGACGGGAAATCGAAACGGGCCGGGCCACAGAAGCGCGCAGCAGCAACTCTGAAACGGTGTTGCGGGAGAGAATCTTTGACCTAGCTGATGAGGAAAATTGCGTTAGCAGCAGCAGTAGTGTAGTACTCTCCGCGGGCGCACTGTGGGCCTGTGATTTCATGTCATGTCAGGGGTATTTTCGGTATTTAAGTACCACTTTTGGGGTTTGGTTTTTCTTTTTTATGTTGCCTTAAGATTCTAATTTCTACTTCTAGAAAGGTAGTGACTAAAATGTGTTACTTTAGCACCTGCACACCATAACTATTTACTTGCAACGATATTTAGTCGATATTGGAATGAAAAAACTTGTTACGAAATTGGAATTTTTATGATCGGATGATTAGTCAGAATTCGAAATGTCCACTTTTATCGCCACTCGTAATGTAAAATATATAATAATATTGATATCGTAAGGGCCATTTTCGCGGGAAATAAATAATTAAACTTTTCAAAAATTAAAATCGATTGAAATTTTGAATCTTATGTATTCATATTGTGGAAAAATGGGAAATTGGAAATTGAAACTTTCGGTATTTGGGTTAAAAATATTTCAAATTTGGAAATATTTCGATTAAGTCGGCGAAATATTTCGTTATCTCATTCATAATCCTCAATTTTTTTTAGAAAGTAAGTTACGTTTGGAGTCTGAGACGTTTTCACTGCATAGGCGACTAATAGTGTGCAAAGCTTCATTCTTAAAATTTATGTCAACTTGATTCCCCTCGTGGTGCAATCCCAACACTATCGAAAACTCCTTCGAGCAAAAAAGGGATCACTACTATGTTTTCATCATTCTCAAATACGAACTCGTTTGATTATGGAGGATATCTTTTCAACAGTTGACAACTGTTGCACCTTGGTAAAACTATGACCAATTTTGAACATTTTTAGGTTTTTCTTCTTGGGACCCATTTTTGCAGCAACAAACAAAACACGATGTTGCCTTTGTTCATATACGATTTTAGTTAACAAAAACACAATAGTAACATAATAGGAAATCATTTTCCTCTGCACACAGTTCAAATACTAAAGAACAATCATACTATTAGAACAACTTGCAAAATTATACATTGTTATATAAATTCGTTCATTACGTCGAAACAGTACAAACACTTAAAACCTATAAACTAAACATATCTCTAACAACATGTTAAATTGTCGAATCACAATACCTCACTGCAATTCCTCCAAATCGTGCGATCCAAGGGAAAAAAAATGGTATCAAGCCCCAACAACGAAATAACAAATTTTACCATACTGTTAGGGTTTCAACAACTATGAAATTTGTTAAAAACAAGAAATCAAACCTTTAAAATATGGTACAGAACGACTCTGAACTGCAACAGTAGTTTCTCAAAATCTCCTCCTCATCTTTTTTCTTCTTCGTCTTCCTATGTTTCTCGTTGTATGTTTCTCTCGTAGGAATACAGAGCATTGTGACTTACAGTGATTACGAAATAAACGGATACAAATATTAAGTTGGCGTTGTCCGAGAACGGCACGTTTTTGGAAAATGTTTGTACGAATACGATTTTGGAGAACGTTTTTTGGTGGAAAAAAAAAATTTCAAAAACCTTTTGAGGGAAATAAATAAGGTCCCGACTCGCGACTATATGCAATCGCAAAAATTACTTAGGGGAAGATCAAATCTATTTTTTCACCAAATGAATTACTAAAAGACTATTATACCCTTACTAAAATACAAAATCCATAATTATAAAATTCCACAACTTCCTTTGTGCAAGATACAAGCAAAACCCATTTCATCTTCCTCACAAACCTATTTCACACAAATTCTTCAAAGAAAAAAATTCTTCATCTTCTCAAAAAATCCTCAACACCCAAAGGCCAAAACCATCAAATCTTACTAAAACATACAAATGATAGCATTATGGAGTCACAAGACATCAATATGGTGAATTTTATAGAAAAAATAGAAAACAAACTATGAATGAATGTATTTTTATAGTAAGGTGATCGACTTTTAAGTTTTCAAAAAATTCGCACAGTCAAAATTCGACACTGACATGTCGAATTTTGTCACAAAATTCAACATTTAGATGTTGATTTTTTAGCAAAAAAATCGACATCTACAAGTCGAATTTTGTGACTAAATTCGACATCTACATGTGATTTTTCGCCAAAAAATCAACATTTAGATTTTTGCCCAAAAATCGACATTTAAATGTCGATTTTTCACCAAAAAATGAACATGTACAGGTCGAATCTTCTTCTTCTTCTTCTTCTTCTTCTTCTTCTTCTTCTTCTTCTTCTTCTTCAAGCACCCGCGGTTGGGCGCGCGGCAATTTTTCGGCGGCGACAATTCTTAGGCAGCGGATGGGCGGCGACAATTCTTCTCGTCTTGTGTTCTTCTCTTCTTCCCCTACAACATCCTTCTCTCTCGCTTTTTAATTTCTCCTTTATTTTTATTTTTATTTTTTTCTTATCTTTTTCCTTTTTTTTTTCTTTTTGGTCTTGCAATAGTAATTATGTCTAATTTGAATGAATAGTAACAAAATGATTATTGGGGTTATATTTGTAATTTTTAGTCTTGCTCTCAGTAAGTTTATTTATATTTTGGTCTTGCATCAAGTAAGGTCTTGCACTTAGTAATTTTAATCTTGCATATATTCGTTGCCAATAAATAAATATGCATTGAAAATATGTTGCATTAGAAACGATTTTACGAGCAATAGCATTTTTGTTAAGTGTTGCAATTCTAATCTAAAGTGAGGAGCATTTCAAACATTTGACGATAATTAGAGAGCTAATTGTAAACAAAACTTAACATGGAGAAGTGCAGTAAACTATTGGGGACCGAATCGTATTTAGAATTAGACCCAAAACAAAGAAAAAAAAATGGAACAAAAACCCCATGATAAAAATGAGGTAGTGCCCAAAACATGTAAATTGAAATTAAATTTTAGGTCAGTAAAACTAATTTTGAAAACTGAAAGTATAATATATAAAAGGCTGTGGCTATATGCAATACTCATTCCACTTGTGCAAGACCAAATTAAAGAAAGATTCCAAAAGATTCTATTTTATTAAGATGGAATGACAAGTATGCCCATAAATTAAATTGGCTTTTTTTTTCTCATGTAAGACCAAATACAAATAATGAGAAAAAAACAAAAATCGACACCAAGGTGTCGAAAAACTATGCTACAAATCGACACTTAAGCGTCGAATTTCATTGGTAAAAATCGACATTGACATGTCGAATTTATAGCACAAATTCAAATGTCGAATTTTATACCTCAAAATCGACATCTAAATGTCGAATTTTATACCTCAAAATCGACATCTAAATGTCGATTTTTACCTGTAAAATTCGACCTGTACATGTCGAATTCGTTTGCGCGAGATTTTTTTTGGATAATCGATATTCTAGCTAAAAAAAACCCATAAATGCATACATTCTTGGGTTCTTCCATCTTAGAATCTTCTATTTTGATGTCTTATGACTCCATACTTGCCATCTTTGTAAGATTTGTTGAGTTTTGATGATTTTGAGTTTCTAGGTTTTGTGGGTTAATGGAGGAGGAAGGAGAAAGGTCTTGTGGGTTTTGGAAGATGGAGAAGATGATAGTTGGTCTTGTGATATGGTTTTTTGTGTTTTTGAATTTTTGGTCTTGCATACTTGGAATTTTTTATTTTTTTAATAAATAAGGGTATTATAGTATTTATACATTAAAAATTTTAATTTGGTCTTGCACAAGTGGAATTAGTCTTGCATATAGCCGCAGCCTATATAAAAATATTGTTCTTTTGGATTTGCAGACGAAGCTGAACTGAAAACAGTTGAATTAACTCATCATATTATACAAATCGAATAATTCTACTGTATTTTGTCTTTGATCCAAATCCCAAATTTACCAAATTGCCAGAGCGATGATGGGTTCAGAGAACCACCACCAATATGTACATGTACCGGGTAAACCGGAAGATGACGACGAAGAAGAAGAAGAATGCCACCACCCCCTCTCCACCACTGGTCAGATGCAAACCCTAACCCTCGACGGCGACGGCGTCGGCGATAGTATCCTGAACGGCGACGTTTCGACCTCCAAATCCTATTCCAATTACCGCAGCGCCATGACGACCCTCTCTTCCTCCGCCGCCGAACATCCCCTCCTTTCTCCGCCGTCCATCGCCACCACTCCCGCCGTCTCCGATCCCCTCCTCTTCCCCACTCACACCCCGCATCTGGATTCCCCCTCCTACGCCGACGTTATGTTCAGCTCCTTCGAGGACAGATTCCCGGAATCAAACGGCGCCGGAGATATCTCCGATGAAGCCACGATTTCGCCGAACGGATCTCAGTCCTCCAGTTCCGAGTATTTGAGGATCAGCGTTTTGAATCCGCAGAAGGAGGTGGAGTCTTCCAATTCGATTGTCCCCGGCGGCAATACTTACGTCACCTATCTGATCACCACCAGCACAAATGTCCCCGATTACGCCGGCACCGATTTCAGCGTCAGGAGGCGGTTTAAAGACGTGGTTACTCTATCGGATCGTCTGGGCGAAGGTTACAGAGGTCTTTTCATCCCACCACGGCCGGATAAAAGCGTGGTCGAGAGTCAGGTGATGCAGAAGCAGGACTTTGTGGAGCAGAGGAGAGTGGAATTGGAGAAGTACTTGAGGAGGCTTTCGAGGCATCCGGTGATTAAGAAAAGTGACGATTTGAGGGCGTTTTTGACTGTGGATAACAGAATGCCGCTGCCAGCTAGCATTGACGTGGCTTCGAGGATGCTTGACGGAGCAGTGAGGCTGCCGAAGCAGCTTTTGGGGGAGTCGAGCAGTGCGATTGAGCCGCAAGATGTAGTGCACTCTGCTAAAGGGGGAAGGGATATGCTGAGGTTCTTTAAGGAATTGAAGCAATCTGTTGTCAATGATTGGGGTAATTCGAGGCCTTCTGTGGAGGAGGAGGATAAGGATTTCTTGGAGAAGAAGGAGAAGTTGTGGGATCTTGAGCAGCAACTCACTAATGCATCGAAACAGGTTTTTTTCGACATTCAATCCATGTTGTTGCCCTTAATTTTCAATTAAAAGTTTAACCGGTTGAGTGCCGTTTTTCTGATTGCGATTCTCTTTATTTTTGTACTCTGAACTGATAGGCTGAATCACTGGTGAAAGCACAGCAAGATATGGGAGACACTATGGGAGAACTAGGTCTAGCTTTTATCAAGTTAACAAAGTTTGAGAACGAGCAGGCGGCACTGAATTCTCAAAGAACGAGGGCTGCGGACATGAAAAATGTTGCTACGGCAGCTGTCAAAGCAAGCAGATTATATCGAGAATTAAATGCTCAGACCGTGAAGCATTTTGTAAGTGTGGCATTCTCATTTGGGTCATTACTCTTGTCATGATAAGTTGGCAATAATAAGACGTAGGAATTACTGGCCTCGCCTTTTATTTTTTATTTCTTTATTTTTATTGAGTCCAAGTGTAGCTTTTTCCTTAAGTAGGAAAACACATTCCATGGAATTATTATGTTAGCTCTATTAATTATGAATTCTAATTGAGAAATGGTAGTTACCTCCTCAATCTTGAAAGGACTTCCCAAATTTATCGACTGTGACTGATTAACTAAAAATAGCTAATTATATGCTCTTATTGGGAGGGACACACAAAAACATATAAAAAGAGACACTATATCTATGTGATAGTGCATATATATGGTATATAATTTAATGTATATGTATCCGATTTAAATGTAGCAACTGTCTAATTGTTTGCTAGTATGGATCATTTTACCACAATAGAGTATGGTGTGATCAACCAGAAGAGGTATGTATAGATGCATCTACCTATCATGCCATGCCGTCATTGTATTAGGTTTTGTTCCTACCAAAATTATGGTGGGTTCTCAAACGACATGTTGTTTTTGTCCTCTCACTTTATATGTTTCCTTTTAAGACTAGTTTCTTGTTTTAATTTTCCGGTTTTTATTTATTGGGATCTTCGACTTTTAATAGATAATAACTATCTTCCATACGGAGAGTAATTTCTTGTTTTGTCAGCCAAACAAACAGAGTAGCAGAAAATCAAATTAATTGATATCTTGGAGTATAAATTAATGTTGCAAGTTGCATCACTATAAAAGGGTTGAGTTTTCTTTCTATATTCTCCAATCGAGCTACTTCATGTTTCCGAACTAATTTATCTCTTTTCTCTTTCCTCTTTATGTATTTTCAGGATACACTACACGAATATATGGGCATGATGTTAGCTGTACACAGTGCATTCTCTGATCGATCTAGTGCTTTATTGACAGTGCAAACTCTTATATCTGATTTGTCTTCTTTGCATTCAAGAACTGAAAAGCTCGAAGGTGCATCATCTAAAATTTTTGGTGGTGATAAGTCAAGGGTCCGCAAACTTGAGGACCTAAAAGGTGCCATTAGGATCACAGAGGATGCGAAAATCTGTGCAATCAGAGAATACGAGAGGATTAAGGTATAACTTATCTGATGCTACCAACAGAGTTTAGACCAGATTTTATATAGTTTCTACTTTCCAGTTTCTTTGAAATTTCATAAAGACGCTTATTTTCAGGTTTTGGATTGAAGCATCATTTCTTTAGTGTGATATACTTGATTTTCTGGTCTTTTGCTTGGTTTTTCATTTCAATTTCACTTGCATTGTGTACCTATAGCAGTTTTCAAGCATTTTGGACTTCCTAGATTGAGGTTTTAGTTCACCTTATTTTGTTTCCTGTTGTTTTTCAAAAGTAAAGCTGCTTAACAAAATCACGTTGCACTTCCAGAGATGTACTTCCACCACTGACCTTGTCTTCAATATATGACTATTATATTTTGTATTTCTTTTTATAATTTCAGTGCAACATTTATAAATGTATTTATCTAATAACGAACTCTTTCTGAAAGATTCTCGATAGTTAATCTAGAAGTTTTCATCTAGTTATTGATCTTTCAAAACCAATGATTTCTCTGTGGCAAACTGTTTATAGTTGCCAACCAATTTGACAACCTCGATTACCATTTACCTTGTTTATTGTTTTACAGGCAGAATTTATTATAAGTTGGATAGAGTATAACTGCATCACACATAATTATTTTATTAATCCAAGTCTGACGTATAGTTAATCATTATTTCGAGCCTGTTTTATAGTTTAAGAAATGTGCACAGTTATGTTTGTACCTGGAATCTTGGATAGTTGGATTGCTGTATGAAACTTGAGGTGCTTTCTATTCGATGCTTGTTTTGTTGCCTTAGAGATCAAGTATGCCCGTTAATCTGATAGTTATTTATAATAAAAAGGTGAGAATTCATTGGGTTGCGAAGGTGATTCTGTAAGGAAAAACCCTTGTTGCAAAATCTGCTTTCAAATTTTATTTTTTCATAGAGTGCTGATTGGCTGTTGGGTTGCTTTCTGAGTGTTTTTGTCCTTAAGCCCTTCATCCATGTGGATGTAAATAGTGATTATCGGACTAGCTATAGAAAATTTATGCTACTTGTTACCTATACTAAATGCTTTGTGAGAAAATTTCCATCTGTGCAAAAATTCCTGTAAGAACCACCACAATCACTACCTTAGATTGACTTCTATGACATTGTAAGTCAGATTCGCTCTCATTGCCAAGATTAAGAACTACAAGGAACACTACCCTAACATGCAAAATTGCTACTGCGAATATTACTGAAATGAATATAATCTAGTTTGATCCAATAAGTGATCGAAGATGAAGTTAAGTAAATAATTATAAACAATTTTTGATGGTACTGAATGTTACAGAGTAACATAACATTGCTTCTAGACTCTTTTCATATGCATTTCTTTCCTGTTGCCTAAATATAGTCCAGAAAATATTTATGTTGCAGTTTTGTGTTGGATTAAGATTATTGTCAGAAACTTGAGTTGTTTTATGTTCTGGAATTACGTTTGTCTTAGATATTAAACTATTTGGTTGTAAAACGTCCGTGTTTTTTGTGATTCATTGGCAGACTTGTCCACAAAATCGATTTACTAATGAAGACGCAAACTTAATCACTACCTATCAGCTAAAAAAGTAAAAAATTAAACGTTTCAGCTTCTTGATAGATACCGAGAATGCTTTCTCAGAGAACGTTTTAACAGCCAGGATTAACATAAAGATTTATTGTTAGAGTTATCTGTTTCCTTTTCTACTTTGTTTTCTTTTTTGAATTATATTACTTCCATCAGTAGGTGGCATAAAAATTCTCGTCATGTTTTGAACATGGAAAAGATCAGGACCCGCTAGTCTGAATCGAAAGGGTTTTTTGTTATTTACGGAAGGAAGATTTGATTCTCGAAGAGGAACAGAATCTTTAGAATATTTATTGTCTAGTATTGTAACTGACGCCAACGCTAAAAACATTAGCAGAAAATGGATTAGAATAAAATAAACCATGCTGCTGACTATTCTCGTCTTATTGCTCGTTTTTTTCGTGATTGTCCTTTCTAATAGATCTAGTGTGGTGTGATTACAGGAAAATAATAGGATTGAAATCCAGAGGCTAGATGGCGAAAAGCAGGCCGACTTTGTTAAAATGTTGAAAGGGTTCGTTGTTGATCAGGTACTTTTATTACTCCCCGAGTATTAACTGCTACCGATATCTCTTATTTTCTGATTCCACCAGTTCCAAAAACGACACTATAAAATGTCATATTAAATGCTGGTGATCAAAAAATAAATTCTAGAATAAAATCATCTGGTGTTAAATTCTGTTTGTTGTTCTGCTTCTTGTCCTTGAATACGAATTGTGCATTTACAGGTTGCTTATAGTGAAAAAATAGGAAACGAGTGGGCTAAAGTGGCAGAGGAGACCCGAAAATACGCAAAAGAGAGCACATAGAAGAAGCCAAAAATATGCAGTTTTGAACTTTTTTTTTCTTCCTTTTGTTTTCTTAATGATCGACTTTGTGAACTAGCAAAAGGGAGTAAATGTTCATAATAAACATACGTAAAGTTGGTTACTTATTGAACCATTTTAGATCTTTTTATCAGCCCCCCTTTTTTCGGGGGGCATGTTTCTTTATCCTCGATTTTCTGGTTTTATGAGAGGGTTTGTAAACCCTCGGAGCTTTGATTGTAATACCTGTAAACATGTTTTCCTAATACAGAAAATGATATGTGGAACTTTGTTCAAAGATGTGAGCTAAGAATTTAAAATAATTTGAAGTATTGTTGTTGGGAATCATTCAAATATGGCCAATTCCTTTATGAAGTTGAAATTTTCTCTCTTAAAAGTTGAAACCTTCATCAATGTACAACTTAATTAATTTAATCTAGTTGTGTACACAGTTTAATTTAATTGGTTCTATTCTTGATACACTAATTTGTTTATTTCAACTGTGCCTAATTGTCGAATGCTCTTGCTAACCGTCTCTCGTATGAATTGCAAGCTATTATATGAGACTGTAGGTTTACCCAATGCACCTATATAATTGGATGTGAATTTTGTTTTCTATTAAAAAGAAGTTGCCTAATTGAGCAATACCAAAAAATATTTTGTGATAAAGGAATTTTTAACATTTGACTTAATTTTTAACATTTGACTTTTTGAGGGACATAAATTAATATCAATTTGTTAGTCAGTGAGAATGGATCAAATCCTTTTACTAGTAGGCTAAATTAAAGCCAAATTTGAAATTGTCAAAAGTTGTATAATATATATGTATGTATGTATGTACGTATATATTGAAAATATGTGAGAATCTATAAGCATTTACATGATAAATAATCCAGGAAAAAATGAGGGTGTAACATAGAACAAAGCTGTTGGATGAGACTCAAACTCAGTCAACACCTAGAAAGAATATTCCAAGTACAAAATCGTTGACACATTCAATTAGACTACTGTTACACATTCTGAATTTTCTTAGCAGCAACAAAAATACGACTTGTTAATTTGTTTGTCTTACTTTCAATGAAGCTTAATTTCGAGGAAATGACAAATACATTTTTGCTTCATTCTTTTGTGTGATCTGATCACAAACGACTTTCGGATCATAAAAGCTGATTTGTTACTCATTCATTCATATTTATTTGCCCCTTTGTCTAATATTTTCGTCTTAAATTATTTTTTTATTTTGCAATTTCAATGAATTATTAATTACATTTTTTTTTCAATTTTAATCATTTTGTCCCATATTATTTGTCTTTTTTAGTATTTTTTGTCCAATGTTTTTTTTTATCATTTTAGAGTTCTAAGAAAGCATTAATTGCATTTTAATCAATTTTGCCCCTTATCACTCTTAATTAGTAGTTAATTGAAAAATAATTAATGACAAGGGTATTTTAGTATTTACTATGTTAATTTTGGTATTTATCGAATCTCTTAATATGCGCGCAACCATCCAAAACGACATATACTATGAAACGAAAGGAGTACCATTTATCCCTCTTAATTAATTGAAAATCAATTTATAGCATGTGTATTTTAGTGACTTTTTATGTTTTCTTATTACAAACCTTACATACTTATTGAGTTTTTTTTAATATATACGCAACAAACAAAAATGACAATTAATATGAAAATAAGAGAGTATTATTTATTTATCATATCAATATTATAATATAACAAAAATTATAAGTTATGACTTATGACCACTTCTCTCTCTCTTTTTTTCTTTTGAAACAAATAAGACAAGAAAAGGAGTTTTACAAACACTTCAAAATTCATTTTTCTTACGCGACTTGTGTGGTTTACAAGCAATTGCAGTTCTACGAGAACGGATGTTTACCTAGTACACTTATGAATGAATTGAGTTCCTGCATTTTTTTTCTTTCTTATTTGTACATATATAATTTTTTGGTTAGGGAACTTTAGACACGGAATAGGGATATTACCAGTTATAAACTATCCAAATTAACTTTAATATTTATTATTTTCTCAATCCATTTAATAGTGACATTTATGTTAAATTAACAAAATTGATATTTCTATTAAATAGTACTCATTTTACAAGAAAAGTCCAAAATACCCCTTTTAACATAATAAGATATCAATTCAATGCATGTGGGGCATACATGTAAATGAAAAAAAACCTTAAAATATAAAGTGAGAAAAAAATATATGAGAAATTCATTGCCAAAGAGATATTTAAAAATGGAAAAGAATACGCCATTTTTACGAGTTTGACCGCCTACGGAACATCACAAAAAACTAAGGTCAATTTGCACGGAAAAAGAGAATAGGACTGACGCCGGAGTTAGCACTTCGACGGTCAAGTCAATGGATATCGGCATAGGTTTTTAAAAGAATCTATATAAGTAACTGAAAAAGATCTTGCTTCTTTGTGTATATGAATCTCTTTTCCTTTTATGGGTGAAATGAAACCCTATTTATATACCTTCCTCGAATTCCAAAGGATCCTAAAAACTGGTTCGTCAGTCTCAATCGCCACTCAAATCGTCGTTTTTGCCTATTTTTCGCACGTGTCATGATATTTCGGACCATCATTATCACCTAATCATCTAGTCACGGTTTTAGCAATGCCTCTAGGCATGCTCTAGGGGTAGAGAAGAATCAAAGTCTTCTCAAGTTTTTCGACTGTCGTCGGACACTTATGCGTTAAATGCTCGTGTCAGGGTATTTAATGGGCATGTCTGAGCATCAAAATACACTAGTTACAATAATAAATGTGTCTGCCATCTCGCCATGATCGGAGCGCCGTATTAGCTCGTAAGGTCATCATCGTTTACGCAGTTTACGAGGATGCATGTGCCTTCCAATGTGGTTCATGAGCATGAACCTATTTGTTTTATTGAACTTGCGTGGATTGGACTTTCTTAACAAATTATAATGGATGATATTTGTTGTCCGGATCTACACATATAAATGATTGGATTTTAACCGCAAGGCTTGATGGATGAAAATTCTATTGGTGCAAGAGAATAATGGTATGAATGATAGTAGAAAGGGTTTAATAAGAATGAGTAGGGGTGGATTCGGTACGGTTGCCAAACATTTGGCTCGATACCGTGTACCTACCGTACATTGTGGTATTGAAAATTTCATACCGTTACCGTACCAAAATGTTCGGTATACCAATGTTTGGTATACCATTATTTTCGGTACGGTACAATCGGTACGTGGTACTCTACCGTACGTGGTGATTGTATCAAAGATTAAACAACAAATGAGCTAACAAATATGTAAATCTCAATTGAAAAAAGTTCTAGTGTATCTAATTTTCTAAGAAGGCCCGAGTGTATGATATGAATAATAAACATAACTTGCTTCAATGAAACAAGAATATAAACCCAAATAAATGTGGTTTAATGAAACAACTAAGTAAAAATACACTACCACTAACTTAAGGTAAAAATAATTGTTGCAACTCATAAGTTTCCAAGTAAAAAATATAATTACAAAAAATAATATCGAAGTAAATATCTTAATCGAATTATAAAATATAAATTGCGGTACGGTACGGTATTACCGTGGTATTAGAAATACAATACCGCTACCGTACCATATTGTAATGGTACGGTACTAGTACCGTACCGTAAACATTGGTAATCGTTCTTTCGGTAATTTTTCGGTATTTCTTGGTAGGTATACCGTGGTACATGGTAATTGGCATTTTTTTTCCAGCCCTAAGAATGAGTGTAAAACAAACACATGTGACATTTGTCCTATAATTTATTTAAAAATTTAGAATCTCTTTTAAGAAGAAAAAAATAACCAAGTCTTTCCATTGTTTGTTGTAAACAATATAGAACGTGGAGTTTCCTAGCACAATCATTTGATGATTCTTAATTTTTCATTAATTTATCAATTACCCATGTCTATTCTACGGTGATGTAACTTTTACGTAAATTAAAAAAAAAAATGTAACTCGTACGTATTGTAAGATAAAATGTTTCCCCCAAAAAAGATGACCCCATAAATTTATGCTATACGGATTTGTTATTTGCATTCTCTCTATTTCCTTAGATCAACTTCAATGGAGGCACTAAATGAGGTATTAAACTAAAAAACTACCACTTTGATACTCCAAAATTAAAAAATCCTCCTCCAATGGAGGCATTAAAGTGAGAATCATTTTGATACTCAACCAACCCTACGTGCAAAAATACTCCCTGGAAAATGAGGTATCAAAAATATAACCACCCAATTAACCTATCACTATTTGACACGTGGCATTTAAAAATATAATTATTCATATACTTAAAATTTGATAATCTATTTGATACTTGTGGTTGGAGTGAATTTTTTTTTCAAGAGTATCAAAGTATTATATAAAACACCAAATGAATATTTAATGCTCCATTTTGATATCTAAGTTACTCTTATGCTGTTGTTATTGTACTTTGTTTCAACAATCATCAAACCAAATAACAACACAAAAAGACTCATGTAAAACACTAATTCTAAATGTTGTAACTAATCTTAATCATTAGCGGTCTATGTTTTTTTATTTCAAATTCTACCCATCTTTCACCTTGGACATTCAATAGAATTTGAATTCAAAAATTAATTTTTTTATCTTTAAATTTTTTTTAAACTTATAATTATAAAATAATAATTAATATTTAAAAAAAATAACCGTTTTAACTAAGAAAAAGGAAAAGAGAGAAGAGGCAAAACCAGTGGATCTCACGTTACCACCATCTCTGCTTTGCCTCAATCACTCCCACTCGTCTTTTTTCCCTTTTTACTTTTCCTTTATCTCTCTCTCTCTCTCTCTTCTTTCTCTCTCCTCTTTCTCTCTCTAATCTCTCTCCTCTCTATAGTTTCACTATCATCAGTCACATAAACCGCGTTTCCCCCATCACTCTCCGCTAGGGCCCCACCCAATCCCTTGTCTCTTAATTTCTGCAGCCGCCCCTAACCACCGTCAAATCTCTCTTTCGAGGGTTTGATCGTGTGTTTCTAGGGCAAAACTCCAATCGGCGCAGAAATCGATCGGGATTAACTAACAATGGCGGACAACGGCGAGGAGAAGCTCATAGCTGTAGCCCGCCACATAGCGAAGACCCTCGGCCACACGGACACCATGACCGACGACATCCTCAAGATCTTCTCCAACTTCGACGGCCGCCTCCGCGAGAAGCTCACCGAGAAGCTCTCCGACGACGACGTCGAGCAGACGCTCAACTCCCTCGACCGCCAGATCTCCCGCTACGTCAACGCCGACCGCCCTATCTGGTCCAACTCCGCCGATTCCGCCTCCTTCCTCGCCTCCGTCGACCAATTGACCGCCGTCGTCCGCGATTGGACCCCAATCGCCGACGACAAGAACATCTCCTCCTGCCTCGACCGCGCCGAGGATCTCCTCCAGCAGTCCATGTTCCGCCTCGAGGACGAGTTCCGAACCCTCGTCGAGCGCGGCGCCGAGTCGTACGACCTGACTCGGTCCGAGTCAACTCACCCCCACACCGACTACTCCTCGTCCGACGACGACGGCGGCGATTTCGACGACGGGAGCCTCACCCCGGTAGCCCACCCCATAACCGACTACGACATCACAATCGACGCTCTCCCGTCCGGCACCATCAGAGACCTCCACGAGATCGCGAAGAGGATGGTGGCCGCCGGGTACGTGAAGGAGTGCTCGCACGCGTACAGCACGTGCCGGCGGGATTTTCTGGAGGAGAGCTTTTCGAGGCTGGGTCTTTCGAAGCTCAGCATCGACGATGTTCACAGAATGCAGTGGACCCAGCTAGAAGACGAAATCGAGAAATGGATCAAAGCAATGAACTTAGGTGTTCGAATCCTCTTCCCCAGCGAACGCCGCCTCTGCGACCGCATCTTCTTCACCTTATCCTCCGCCGCCGACCTCTCCTTCATGGAGGTCTGCAGGGGTTCCACCATTCAGCTCCTCAACTTCGCCGACGCGGTCGCAATCGGAAGCCGGGCCCCGGAGCGTCTCTTCAAGGTGCTCGATGTTTACGAAACTGTGAGGGACTTGATGCCGGAGATCGAATTAATCTTTTCCGACCAGTACTGTTCGTCTCTGAGAAACGAAGCCGTAACTATTTGGAAGAGACTCGGGGAATCTATCAGGGGAATATTCATGGAGTTGGAGAATTTAATCAGGCGGGACCCGGCTAAAGACGCAGTTCCTGGAGGAAGATTGCACCCCATTACTCGATACGTGATGAATTATCTTCGGGCTGCGTGTAGGGCCCGTCAAACGTTGGAGCAGGTATTTGAAGAGAGCGGCGGAAGCAATCTTGACTACAGAAAGGGGAACGATTCCTCGTCGTCTAGTTTAGCGGTGCAAATGGAGTGGATAATGGAGTTGTTGGAGAGTAATCTGGAGGCAAAGTCGAAGACTTATAGGGATTCCGCTTTGTGCTCGGTTTTCATGATGAACAATGGGAGGTACATAGTGCAGAAGGTGAGAGACAACGATTTGGGGGTGCTGTTAGGCGACGATTGGGTTAAGAAACACACGGCGAAAGTGAGGCAGTACCATGTGAATTATCAGAGGAGTTCTTGGAGTAAGGTTTTGGGAGTTCTCAAACTGGACAACAATTTTTCCGCGTCGCCCAATCGGGGGTCCAAGAACTTGAAGGAGAAGCTGAAGTTGTTCAATTCCTACTTTGAGGAGACATGCAAGACTCAGTCCTCGTGGGTGATATTCGACGATCAGTTGAGGGAGGAGTTGAGGAGTTCGATTTCGGTTGCTTTGTGTAATGCGTACCGTAATTTTATTGCGAGGCTGCAGAGTGTACCGGATATTAGCAAGAACGCGGATAGGTATATCAGGTATAGAGTGGAGGATATCGAGGCTCGGATTAACGAGCTGTTTCAAGGGAGTGGGGGTGGAAGAAGGTGAGAGAGAGAGAGACGACGGAAGCTGGTAAGCAATGTATGTATGTATGTATGCATGTAATCTTGTTTGAGTGTGTGTGTGTGTGTGTGTGTTTGTATCATACAGTGTAGCTAGCGGCTTGAAAGATTTGTTGTTTGTGTGTGTGTGTATTTATGGCCTTCTGCTTTAAACTGGGAAACACGCGCCTTACACGTAAGATTTGTATCTTTAGAACTCAAGAAACGGTGAATATTCATCGTATTCGTATATGCTTAAAACCATTAGAAATTTTCTGCCTGCCGGAAATGTTTAGTCGTCGTTCAGATTTTGAATATATGATCGGTTTCTGCTCTTAACTTATCGCGCATAGGATACCCGGTCATGTTCGTGTTTGGAATTGACTTTAAACAGGTGGTAGCATTGGAGGAGAAGTTTGGACAAGCATTAGATGTTTCATAGGAGAGGCTGCTTTGGTTGTTATATACTTACAATCAAGAAAGTATATACTTACACAGTCAAGAAAGTGCTACTACAGTCATATTTCATTTGTAAGGAATTTTATTGATGATGGGGTTCCCATTGATTCACACTAGTGTAGATAGAGAATGGGATAACAAGCCCACCATCTAGGGGTTAAACTTAGTCACTAGTTTGGTATTTTTTTTTGTTAATTCTTTTTTTTTTTTTTTTTTTAAATTATGAATAGAAGATAATTTATAGTAGCAAAACATATATATAATAATAAAATTTTGAGTCGAGCTTGTGTCCGTGTTCGTGTTCGTGCTAGAACTCGATTTAGTATAATTATTCGAGCTCGTGCTTGCTCACCTGGTTAAATTGAGAGATTAGTTACAGAGGAGCTTAACAAACAATTATGAATTTTGAAACAATTATGTAGAATGTTTGTATTTCTCTTCTTGATATGTGTACAAAGCATTACATGGTGTTACTACATATAATATAGTACAGCAAAGACAACAACTCAAAGGTCAAGATTTACAATATCATTAGCTTGAACATAATAAATATAGAGTTACAAATAACCATTATGTGTGATAATGGTGATTGCAGTGGGAATGCAATATCATTACTTATGCAAACAAATTCTTATACTATCTAAAGAATTGGACATTGATTTTTACTTCATCCGCTCTAGAAACAAGTAGTGTTGAACTATTGTTAATCACAAATTTCGCGGATGCCAAATATAAATACGAGACATGAAAATAGGAAACACATATAATCAAACGAAATGGATTGCATTCTCTAAATAATTTCATGATTCTTCTGTCCTAAAGAAGCTTGTTTTTTAATCGAATAAATATAAACACCTCAAATTCAAATATGTTATGAAATCGTGGCGGATAATCGAAACTTAAGTTGAGAGCTTGATATGTGTCCATGTGAGTCTGAATATTGCATGCATCGAAGTCTCTTTTTCTGTGCACATACTAGGATTTCTTGATTTGTAGCATAGGTTGGTGAACTTGGATACATGTCATTTGACATATTTGGCCCAATTAGCTAATAATAAAAAGTATTTACTTTTTAATTAATCAATTTAACATATTTATAAAGTGCAAATATATTATGGACTTTCATTTGTTACTCAACTTACTAGCCAATTATTTTGGTTATTAATTAGTGATTTTTCTCAAAATTTTGGTGTCAACAACTATAATTTGAGAAATATGGGTGGCATTTGGATCGGGATATTCGGATTGTAACCCGACCCGGTCAGGTTTTATCCGACTAGATCAAGTAATTTTCAAACTTACCGGGATCTGCCGGATTCGGATACCCGGTGTTCACAAATCTAGTCGGATCCGGGTATTAGTATTCCTACCGGGATACCCCATCGAGTACCTAGCTTAAAAAAAAAAAAAAAAAGAAAAAAAAAAACTAGACTCTAGGGCCTATCTTGCTCTCAAACCCAATCCAATTTTCTTACATAGCCCATCTTATGTTTGTCGATTGTAATTGACATTGTACTAATTACTAAATGTCAATATGTCAATTGTCAAGTTACCAAAATTTCGGAAAAAAATAAAAAAAAGGCAAAACAAAAAACGCAAAGTAGAAAAAAAAAATGAAATTTTCTTTTCAAATAAAATGAGCATAGGACCCAAAAAAGGGGCTTCTTTTGTTATTATTTTTAAGAAATAAATGGCTCTGTACTAGGTGGTGACATAATGGCACTACTAAATTTCAAAAATCAATATTATTCTTGTAAAAAAAATAAAAAATCGAACCCAACCCAAAATAATCGGTCAGGTTCGGGTTCGGGTTCGGATAATGATTTCTATGCCAAAACTCGAATAACCCCATCCTAATATCCCGAAAAACTTGACCCGCTCCGAATGTCCATCCTTAGTGAGAAACATCCTAGGAGTTGTTTCCTTTATTTCTTATCCAAATTCAAATTATTAGGACAACCTACATAGTTCACCATAAATAAGCTAGAAACTAAAATTGATTTTTCTACAGTATTTGCAAATATCCCTAAAAATATTTATTTTAACTTAACTCAAAGTCACGAACTTTTGCTTATGGCGGCCGTTATATGCAAACCCATTTTTTTATTAGTTCAAAACCTCCAACATAAAAATTCAAAAGTAAATATTTCCTTTGTGCAAGACCAAATAAAATAAAAATATTAAATCTCCTTTCATTATTTCCTTGCAAGACCAAATAAAGTAAAGTAAATATCCCTATTAATTTACCCTTAATGAAATTCAAAAGTAAATAAAAAACACAAAATATTAAAAAAATAAAAAAAATATTTCCTTTGTGCAAGACCAAATAAAATACATAACCCTATAAATCTCCTTTCATTATTTCACGACTTAAAAATCTCCTCCTTCTTCTTCACAAAGCCACCAAGAAACCCTACACGCCGAAATTATCAAATACACACCAAACATTCACGATGGAGCCAAAAAACAATGATATGGTGGTTTACGAGGGTGGAGAACACAATAAGGTATGTTTTAACCGTTTATTTTTGCTTTTGGGTCGTTTTCTTTTTGTTGGAAAAAAAAAATCGACGACACCAAAAATCGATATTTAAAAACCGATTTTTGTTGCGAAAATCGGCAACTACAGTCCGATTGCTGGAATACAACTCGGTACTCAAAACCCGATTTTTGTAGTAAAAAACAGCATGACAAAGCCGATTTTTTTGTCTATAACCGGTGTTATAATGCCGATTTAGACTACATAAAATCGGTTTTTGAGCACCGATTTTATTATATATGTTTTTTTAAGACCGTTTTTCCGTACTTTCTTGCAGCAACCTAGGGGATTGATGGAGTATTCGGATGAATTTTCTACCGAACAAATATTTGAGACACGAGAAGCTCTACTTGAGTGGCCTTACTTGTTGGTGGTGGTGCGGTGGTGGTGATGGTGCGGTGGAGATGGTTTGGTGGTGGTGGTGGTGATGGTGCGGTGGTGGTGGCTTGCTGATCGTTGCCGGCGGTCTGGTGGTGGTCGTGCGGCAGTCGCGGCGGTCTTCTGCGGTAGTCGTGCGACGATCTTCTGCAGTGGTCGTGCGGCCGTTTTCTTTTTCCGTATTCTTTTTTTTTTTTTTCTTTTGAGTTTTTTATTTTTTGGTCTTGTACAAATAAGAAATAGGGTTAATTTGTATTTAGGTATTATTTGAGGATAAGGGTATATTCGTCCTCTTTGGTCTTGATGTAATAAAATTAAATTAATTTATGAGTTTGAACTAATAAATCCCTTTATGTGGGTTTGAACTAATAAAAAAATAGGCTTGCATATAACGGCCGCCTTTGCTTATATATGGATTTTTGCAAACATCACCTTAATCAGAGTTGACATTTGAATTGTTTAAAAAAAGATGAAATATTAGATAATAGTTTGTAGGATGGAAAAACATTATTAGCCCTAACAATACTCTTATTTTTGGTTTAGATTAAAGTTCATCAATTCAATTTCTTTTTTTTTTTTTTTGGGAAGTCCTTGGAGTATTACATTACCATTCAATGTCGTTTATTATGCCTTAAATTCATTTTTCTATTTCGATACTTCATTTCTTTTTTTCGAAAGTTAAGATATGTCTTAGGCGAAAAGATAATTTGGATATGTCCGAGTATTTTTATTGGTTTCTTGTGTTTTTAAGTCACAACGTTTTCGTTTATGCATCGACATTGTACATTTATATACGTTATAATTATTCTTTCGAGTGTGTTTGTTTAACATAATCAATTATACATTTTTTTATTTGTGTTTGACAGAAAAGAAATTCACAGCTAATCATATAAGCGAACTTTGTAAAAATCTACTCTCCTGTAATAGCTTCCAAATCTCAGGAGATATGTACATTAAACTAAGCATAAGTAATATGTGACAAGATTAACTTAAAAACCATTGACACATGAATCTGAACTCGAATAATTTGAAATTGAACTCTCTTATTCTAATAACTAGGCCACCGCTGGACAACAATTATACAATATTGATTTTTTTTTTAGTTTTGTGTTTTTTATTTCCCAAAAAAATAAAACAGCTTTTTTGTTTTTTCAGTTACATTTTCATTATGTGTTTTTTGAGTTTAATCTATTTATAAGATGCTTTGATAAAAAAAAAATGTTTGTGCATGCATCGAATTGTATATTTTTTGTGAATTTAAACTCAGAGAAAGTGTAATATTGAAACAAATAAACATGTACATAAATGACACAAATATTACTTAAATGAGATTAGTTACACTAAAACTTACCTTACAATTTGTAAATTCTACCCAAATTACAAGAAATTTTAAAGTAATGACAAGAAACATGACCGAGGAGGCATGGCATTTTTCTATAATTGGTAGATTATGAAAATTGACAGTGAACTTTTGAAAATTGACCGATGCGCACCCCTGGACTCACTGGCGGAACTAGGGCTGGGCAGGTCGGGGCCCATGACCCCCGCCCCCCCCCCCCCCCCCCCAAAAAAAATGATTTTTGCTTATTTACTACTAATTACTAATATATTATCTTAATTATATGTTGTTATGTATTAGCCACCTTAAGAAATACTATTTATATTTTGTCAACTTAGTTTTCTTTCAAATTTGATTCTCGATTCTATATTTCTAATTAATATTTTATTTTTTATTTTATTTTTTTAACAATATCACACATTCATGTAATTCATCTTCATATGTAATATCCTTAGAAAAAATCGACTACAGTACATACCCTCGAGCAAGTCATGCCCCTACAAATGTTTAGCATACCATCTAAAATTCCGCCTCCCCAACTATATATACCTGATTCCGCCACTGCCTAG